TGCCTCCCTCCTTCCTCCTCGGTCCCACTTCCCTCGTCCGCTGCTCCTGCTGGAGGCTACCCGCGGCGAAGGGGCATACACTTTATAGGGACGCGGGAGTACCACCAAAAAGAAAAGAACAGCAATCTCGCACTCGTCGGTACGAGATCGCTCGCCACCACAAAATATATCCGCGACTATTCCTCAAAATTACTCAGCTCGTTTCATGATCGCGGCCGAGCGCGACAGCCCGGGGACCCCCTCGGAGGCCCTCCGCCTCTTGTAACGGGCGACCCCAAAATCGCCACGTCACAATTTATACATATATACAAGGTATATTTAATTTTTACAGGCAAAATTTCGAAAATGTGCAATTTTATAAAAAAACTTTTTAAATAAAAGTTGTATGATGTTGAGGAGGACGTACAATAGTGACCTTGGTTTAACCTTGGGACATCTACTTAAGGTCAGAGGATGGTCAACCTAATGTCATCTTGACCCGTCGGCCTAGTGTTTGCGAGGAGACCGAGTTATATGAACTTCTGAAAAGATACAGAAAGGAATCGCAGTCATTCTGACGAAGCTCCTATGTGAATATAAGGTGATGTTTAACTAAGAAGTTCCTATGTGAATATAGGGTGATGTTTAACTAAGAAGTTCCTATGTGAATACAGGGTGATGTTTAACTAAGAAGAAAACACAGAGTTCCGGTTTATCTAGAAAAGGCTTAAAGATGAGTAAGGGCTGAGACTTTCCGAACTTCGGAGATTTTGAGACATGTTGAGATTTTAATAATCGTAGAGTCTGATATGACTATATTGGAAAGTTTTATAGCTGCAAGTGTTTGCATTCTTTACGCCGTCGTGAGGACAAGAAGAATGGCTAGTTTTTTTCTGAAATGAGTTCAAGAGATAATGTCTTATAGGGATGCATCTTAGCGAGGTGATTGACGACCGGAGTTGGGTCCCAGATAAAGTCATATTGTGGTTGCATTGGATTTAACGCGGCGATTCCTTTGAAGAATCTCTTAATCAACGGATATGATCCCACGTCAGTTGAAGTGAGTCAGTTGAGATGAGAAAGATAGCTGAACGATAAGTGTTCAGAGTAGAATATGATCTCGTGTTTGTCAGGCAAGAAGATAGGAACTCTAGGACTGTGTTAATTGGTGGAGAAAGGAGGCAGACATTCCTTTCCCCACGGAATCGCCACCATAATCGAAGAGGTTTTGAGTATTGGGCGATTGTGGAGTCCGTGATTGATGCTATTGTCGGCTCAATCGCCGCCGTAGATATACCCTGTCTCAAAACATTTAATGAATAACCTCGCGGTCCCCAGGGAAATCTTGGTCCATTGTGGATGAAAATCTCTGAAAGGAGACGATAACATATCAAGTTTCTATATTATCAAGCTTCCAAGTTAAGATTCCACTCTGTTTTTTCCCAGATCACTCGCGATTCAGTGTCTGCTTCTAAGTTTTGAGAGGAAGGAATATACGCGGTATAGATAAATAAATCGCGAGTCTCACATCAGCGCTCGCTCTTGCGGGCAAGGGCAGACAGTTGAGGAAGCTTAATGGAGCCCATACGATTAACGTAAGCGAGCGCTGTAAAGTTGTCCACTCTTGAAAGAATACCACACCCTCACGAGTGGGAAGCAAAACATTTTAAGCTGTAAAAGATGGCTGGAAGCTCTAGATAATTTATATGGTGTTGTCTGTCCTCTGTCTGTCCTCCGGTCTGTCCTCCGTGGACCAAAAACCATGCATTTGTGTCTCATTGCAGACAGCGCCCCAACTTGTAAGTAAAGCTCCCGTGAATATTTCTAGCTCAAACGTCCTAATTTGATGATGTTATGCTGGGAATAATTAGAGAATATCTCTTTTCACCATAACAGATCCTCTCTCTAGATACTGTAGAAAGGGACATTTGAGCCTCAAAGTTGTCGTCTATCGCGGACAGGGCTAGAAACCTTTCTCTTTCCAGGGTTTTCGTATACAACATATCATATTTTACGGCTGAGCAGACGGAAACTAATGAACCGATAAAATTCACCAGGGAATGAATCTTTTTTACATGATCATTTTACATGATTTTTTGTTCAATATGATAAGAGTTTTATGTAACCACTTTATTAACAGCTCGTTTATCCGGGGAAATCGAAATCGAAAAGCTCTATGTATCGAAAATAAATTCCAGAAAGCGGTATGCTCTCGCTGGGGCAAGTACATTTTTTACTTTGTTAATAACGAAAACTAGAGTGAGTAAGAGGCTAAGGGTGAAAACTCATGGAGCGGAATCGCCGAAGGCGGAACGAGAGCGGAACCAATCACGAGCGTTCCGCAGTTTTTGTTGCGCGGTTCTCAAATGCCTTCCAAGGGAGGGAATAGCGGAAAGCGGAATTAGAGTGGAACCAATGACGAACGTTTTGCGTTTTTCAGCAGTTTCTCCATACATTTTAGCCGAATGTACAGAACACTTTTCGCAGACTGCGTTAAATATGCACTCTTCTGTACACCGGTACAGAATATATAACCTTAGAATTAATAATATGTACGCAGATAGCCAAATCTGTTCTGCCAAATAAAGCCAAAGATTTGCTTACAAGATTTGTTGGCAAATTTAGTACAAATTTGGAATAAACCTTGTTTTATGAAAGAATGTCCACAAATTGGTAGCATTTATGTAGCAAAGTTTGCGCACATAACATGATACCAAATTGACGCCAAGTAACGCCAAGTAACGCAGTTGACGCAACGCTTGCTACCAAAATTTACAGCAAATTGGCGTCAAATATCGAGCACACCTTGGGTACGCCGCTTGATGCCAAATTAATGCCAAATAACGAGCAAACTTTGGCGCCAAGATCCCAGCAAGGCTTGCGGACAAAACATCACACCAAATTGTCACCAAATACCGAGCAAACTTTGGCGACAATACTCCATAGCAAATTGACGCCAAATACCGAGCAAAGCTTGGCGATAAAACCCTACAGCAAATTGACGCCAAATACCGAGCAAAGCTTGGCGACAAAACCTTGCAGCAAGTTGACGTCAAATACCGAGCAAAGCTTACTGACAAAATTCCACAGCAAATTGGCGTCAAATATCGAGCAGATTCTGCCATATTCATTTATTACACCCCTCCCACTTCAACCAGGTAGGTTAGGTTCAAGTAAAGCAAGGATTTTGGCCAAGTGTATAATGTACAATGCAAAAGCAAATGAATTTATTAGAATCATTCATTGTTTACGTACAGCTGGAAATGACTTCTGATAATGCATTTGCTTGTCAATTATATATTATGCACGAATCTGTATTCCCCGCTTAATTATTAAGTAAAATCAAATATGTTAATAAATTTTTATTAATATTTTACAAATTTATTATACTTAATGATTTATTATTATTATTGTAACAATTTTTTTTAATTTGTTACAATGTCGAAAATACACTAAAATATAAGGCTAATATTACATTTGTCGTACGACAATCTTTTCGAATACGTTGATTAGTTAACAAACAGAATATTTCTAGGTTTCCTCCGCATACGCCAATCAATGTATCCGAAAAGCTTGTCGTACGATACATGTAATATTAGCCTAAGTTGGCACTAAAAAGTACCGATTCAGATATTGGCATTCAAAAATGCCTTTTATTGCACTAAGGTGTTTCCGTTATGTTTTAAAAATAGGCGCCGAAAGGACCGATTTACTTCTCTCTCTTCGAGAAGAGAACGTGTGGTATGTGCATGCGTGTGTATGTGTGTGTGTGTGTGCGTGCATGTTGCACCCTCCTCTCTCTCTCTCTCTCTCTCTCTCTCTCTCTCTCTCTCTCTCTCGACCTCCTGCGACCGTGAGTGTTGTCTTCGACCTCATCCTCGTCCCATGCATCTATATATTTAGAAATTTTTTATATTTTTTAATATATATGACGGACGCGATTAATAGATGAGGTCAAATAAAATACTGGGAACGAAAATGAAAAATTGAAGAACATATAACTTTACTACCAGTAATCAGTGAGGAATGATCCCTGCTGTAAATGCTTTGCTACATTTCTCTCTTACATGACTCTATTTCTGTATTATTTCATGAATGTAGTCATTTTTCAGTGATATATACATATTAAACAACATACCGTGAAATGTATTGAATATTACAGAAAACTGTATACATTGGCTGCGTTCAGAAGAACAAAATGATCAGTGAACGGTTAGTGATTCTCGCTCCTGATTGGCAAATACTTCTGGGCCTATGAAAAATATAAAAGAATGCTCCAGTCACAGACACAATAATCACTAAGCGCTCACTGATCACTTTGTTCTGCTGAACGCAGCCATTAACGAAATAATATTGAAATTGCGTCATATGTGAGGGAGAAATTCAGCTAAATATTTCCAGCAGATGTATCACTCCTCACTGTTCAGATACCACACAATATTTACAAGATATTTTAAAAACATAGATGTTGGATATATTATAAATATTCTAATGTCTGAGATTTTCAGCTATGGAAAAAATATGATAAATATCTAAATATATTTATGATATTGTTCATACATCTTTTATAAATCGAAATTCTTTTTATAAACATACGTATGACAAACATGTTTAGATATTTATCATACCCTTTTCATGCCTGAAAATGTCGGACATTAGAATATTTACGAAATATTCAACATCTATATTTTCACAATATCTTGCGTGTTTATTCAACAGTGCTATATACCTTATGTCAGGTCTTGCTGGTCCTGCTCCTCTTCCTCGTCTGCACGCTCGTCGCTTCATAAGTCGCGCTGTATCCTTGGGCCGGCTGCCGTTCTACGTTGATTACGTCCTCTGTGGCGGTGTCGTTCCTTCGCTGTCCGAAGAGCGTCTTGCATCTGTATTTGGAACTCGGGACGTTGAGGCCACTGAAATGTTCTCGAAAGCAATGTCGTTTTGCGGCTGGAATTTCTTTTTCGCAAAATTCATACACCTGTGTTTTGCTTTCCGGTATCTTGTGAAAAGTAATTTTGTATCCTCGTGTACAGATATTGTGTGTGTGAATAATATCTGTTTTACCTATTCATGTATTCATATTCTTAACCTCTTTTTCGCGACAAGTGTCAACAGCAAATGTAAAAAAGTCCTTTGAGAAGGACATATATAACCACCACTTTCTAAATAAAAGGGCAATGATAAGACAATTACATAAGATTATGTTGTTATCATTTGATACAGGCACATAGTTTTACTTACAGATGGAAGAACGACCAAAGCGTATAATTACAAAACCAACAAGCTACCAGACAACATCATCAGACGAGGCTCCTCCAGTATACAAACGGACTGCACCTGTGCCAAACATCACGGCAGGAAGCATCAAAGAGGACATCAAAGATATACGGCCCACCCTGGACAAGAATGCAAACAACGATATACATTTATTTACTAATAGTACACAAAACATATCATCGCGCACACACGCATATAATTCCACACACATTACTCCCACAGCATCTGTCCACCCAGCACAAGATACACCGAATCATACTTCTCACACTACATGTATACCTCACGAAAATGAACACCTGTACTACACTAATGATACATATACTGAGTTGCAGGGTACTTCGCGCCCATGGACAACGCAGAGGCACACGCAGCATCAGTTCCATCAGGAGCATCTATCTTACGAGCAGTACGAAGAGCGGCTACCTTATGGCCAACATGCACGAATAACACAGAAGGCGGACAATCGGTACGTCTTTGTGCGTATTTAAAAATATAACAGTAACGAAAATTGTAAAAGAACATTTACAAAAAAGTTATTTTTGTGCACAGGGAAAACAACGATCGTTGGGAGCGCATGGAAAAGAGACTTACGTGAGTATGTACTATATACTGACAAAATAATTTATAAAATTATCTTTTTACCCTTTCTTTACAGGAAGATGGCCTCAGTGGCCTCAAGGTCCCGAGTTCCAAATACAGATGCAAGACGCTCTTCGGACAGCGAAGGAACGACACCGCCACAGAGGACGTAATCAACGTAGAACGGCAGCCGGCCCAAGGATACAGCGCGACTTATGAAGCGACGAGCGTGCAGACGAGGAAGAGGAGCAGGACCAGCAAGACCTGACATAAGGTATATAGCACTGTTGAATAAACACGCAAGATATTGTGAAAATATAGATGTTGAATATTTCGTAAATATTCTAATGTCCGACATTTTCAGGCATGAAAAGGGTATGATAAATATCTAAACATGTTTGTCATACGTATGTTTATAAAAAGAATTTCGATTTATAAAAGATGTATGAACAATATCATAAATATATTTAGATATTTATCATATTTTTTCCATAGCTGAAAATCTCAGACATTAGAATATTTATAATATATCCAACATCTATGTTTTTAAAATATCTTGTAAATATTGTGTGGTATCTGAACAGTGAGGAGTGATACATCTGCTGGAAATATTTAGCTGAATTTCTCCCTCACATATGACGCAATTTCAATATTATTTCGTTAATGGCTGCGTTCAGCAGAACAAAGTGATCAGTGAGCGCTTAGTGATTATTGTGTCTGTGACTGGAGCATTCTTTTATATTTTTCATAGGCCCAGAAGTATTTGCCAATCAGGAGCGAGAATCACTAACCGTTCACTGATCATTTTGTTCTTCTGAACGCAGCCAATGTATACAGTTTTCTGTAATATTCAATACATTTCACGGTATGTTGTTTAATATGTATATATCACTGAAAAATGACTACATTCATGAAATAATACAGAAATAGAGTCATGTAAGAGAGAAATGTAGCAAAGCATTTACAGCAGGGATCATTCCTCACTGATTACTGGTAGTAAAGTTATATGTTCTTCAATTTTTCATTTTCGTTCCCAGTATTTTATTTGACCTCATCTATTAATCGCGTCCGTCATATATATTAAAAAATATAAAAAATTTCTAAATATATAGATGCATGGGACGAGGATGAGGTCGAAGACAACACTCACGGTCGCAGGAGGTCGAGAGAGAGAGAGAGAGAGAGAGAGAGAGAGAGAGAGAGAGAGAGGAGGGTGCAACATGCACGCACACACACACACACATACACACGCATGCACATACCACACGTTCTCTTCTCGAAGAGAGAGAAGTAAATCGGTCCTTTCGGCGCCTATTTTTAAAACATAACGGAAACACCTTAGTGCAATAAAAGGCATTTTTGAATGCCAATATCTGAATCGGTACTTTTTAGTGCCAACTTAGGCTAATATTACATGTATCGTACGACAAGCTTTTCGGATACATTGATTGGCGTATGCGGAGGAAACCTAGAAATATTCTGTTTGTTAACTAATCAACGTATTCGAAAAGATTGTCGTACGACAAATGTAATATTAGCCTTATATTTTAGTGTATTTTCGACATTGTAACAAATTAAAAAAAATTGTTACAATAATAATAATAAATCATTAAGTATAATAAATTTGTAAAATATTAATAAAAATTTATTAACATATTTGATTTTACTTAATAATTAAGCGGGGAATACAGATTCGTGCATAATATATAATTGACAAGCAAATGCATTATCAGAAGTCATTTCCAGCTGTACGTAAACAATGAATGATTCTAATAAATTCATTTGCTTTTGCATTGTACATTATACACTTGGCCAAAATCCTTGCTTTACTTGAACCTAACCTACCTGGTTGAAGTGGGAGGGGTGTAATAAATGAATATGGCAGAATCTGCTCGATATTTGACGCCAATTTGCTGTGGAATTTTGTCAGTAAGCTTTGCTCGGTATTTGACGTCAACTTGCTGCAAGGTTTTGTCGCCAAGCTTTGCTCGGTATTTGGCGTCAATTTGCTGTAGGGTTTTATCGCCAAGCTTTGCTCGGTATTTGGCGTCAATTTGCTATGGAGTATTGTCGCCAAAGTTTGCTCGGTATTTGGTGACAATTTGGTGTGATGTTTTGTCCGCAAGCCTTGCTGGGATCTTGGCGCCAATTTGCTGTGGAGTTTTGTCAGCCAGTCTTGCTCATTATTTGGCGCCAATTTTCTATATAGTTTTGTCAGCAAGCCTTGCTCACTATTTGTCCCCAATTTGGCATCAGAATATGTATACAAGCTTTGCTAGCAAATTCCGATGCTATTGAGGACACAGATGGCACCGGATTTGACAGCAAACTTTGTACAAGTTTGGTGACAATTTGGTACCAAATTGTTTGCTGGGGATATTGTGAAGGATCATCTTCAAGTGAACGCTTTAATACAAGTAAATATATGTATATACAGGATGGGTGGTTATAAGTTTACAATCTGAAGTGTACAGGTAGATTACATTAAGACAAACATAAAAGTCCCATACCGTTTACCGAGATTCGCAATAATTATCGAGTTATTAATGACAGAAATCTTGAAGAGTGGGAGCGCGCCGGCATAGATGATTGGAGAAACGTTGAAGCTGCTCAGGCTACGGCGCGGCCCACTCGGCCCAGCAACTGTGGGCGGCGTGCGGCGAGACGTAATTCCGACAAGATAAAACAACGAATAGCGGCGCGTTGTCCTTCCCCTCGTCTTCCCGCTATGTCGGCGCGCTTCTACTCCTCAGATTTCTGTCATTAATAACTCGATAATTATTGCGAATCTTGCAACATGGTATGGGACTTTTATGTTTATCTTAACCCAATCTACCTTCACACTTCGGGTTGGCAGCTTATAACCGGCCACCCTATAAATGCGCGTTTTCGTCACGCGTTCTCCTCGCGGAGATGATTATCGGTGCTATCCTTTCCACACCACCTAGCGGTAGATAGCATGGCGCGTTTTTTTATAGTGGTATCCCCAGGAGGCCTAATCCACTGTATATTAATGTATTAAAAACTGCTCGAAGTGCCGTCCTTCTTCTCGCATACAAAATTTGGCTCTTCGTTTAATATCGCGCGTTGCTCGGTGCGTCATTTCCGGCGTGATAGTATTGAAGGCCGCGACAATTGCCTCACGCACTTCTTGTTCTGTACCATCATGCCGCTGTTCAATTAAATTCTTAACGTGACCTCATAAGGAATAATCGAGCACATTAAGGTCAGGAGATCGCGGCGGCCAGGTGATCGGACCACCTCGACCTATCCACCTTTCCGGGAAACGCGTATCTAATATATCTCGCACTTGCCGGCTAAAGTGCGCAGGAGCTCCATCATGTTGAAAGATCAACTCCGCTCGTGCCTGTAGAGGGACGTCCTCGAGTAGCCCTGGGAGTTGATTTTTGATAAAATCGGCGTAAATCTCGCCATTAAGCCGAGGTGGCAAAAAGTATTGACCTATCTGAAAATTATGAAATATTAGAAAATCATTGCGGGAAACAAGTTTCTTCAATCGAATGATACTCACCACTCGGTCCGCAATTACTCCGGCCCAAACATTAATACTCCAGCGGTACTGGAACGCGCCTTCTCGAACGGCGTGTGGATTTTCCTCCTGCCACAATAGGAAATTCCGCGAATTAAACACGCCGTTCGGTGTAAAGGTCGACTCGTCCGTCCACAGGATGCGGTCGGGGAATGAAATATCCCGCCGACACTGCATGAGTAAACCTATGCATTTCAACGGTGATTAATAAAATCAATAAACTGGCAGCAAAAGAAATAACTTGTAAAGCCAATACCTTCACAGAAAAAGACGCGCTTCTGCTCATCTGCTGGGAGAAGTTGTTGCACGCGTTGGAAATGATACGGGCGCAGATTGTTCTCCCGTAATGTGCGCCGCACCAAATTGCGCGAGACATCTAATGCAGTCGCTACCTTTCGCGTGCTGTTGCCGGGGTCTCTCTCAAATTCGTGCAAAATGCGCTCTTCAGTATTTACATTCTGCACTCTTTCACCTTCTTCTCGTGTATGTCGCAGGACCGATCCCGTCGCCCTTAATCTCGCAAAACACGAGACAATTGTGTGTCGAGAGGGTTTGTCGCGCGCGGGAAATCTTTCTGCGTATAAACGTTCCGTTTATATGTGCCGTGAGATGTGATATGAGACACTCTCATATCACATCTCAACGGCGAATCTCTTTACGCCGTCTTCGTCGATCGTCAATTGTTTTAGGCAAACTCGTGGAATGCGGCTGCGGACATGGCCTCAGTGGACGATACAGTCCGAAGAAATAACTATTGGAAGAAACGTGTAAAGATGTTCACCGCGAGTGAATACGCCGATATGATTATAACGTACGATTTGGCGGGTGAGAACGCACTTGCCGCGGAACGTTTATACGCAGAAAGATTTCCCGCGCGCGACAAACCCTCTCGACACACAATTGTCTCGTGTTTTACGAGATTAAGGGCGACGGGATCGGTCCTGCGACATACACGAGAAGAAGGTGAAAGAGTGCAGAATGTAAATACTGAAGAACGCATTTTGCACGAATTTGAGAGAGATCCCGGCAACAGCACGCGAAAGGTAGCGACTGCATTGGATGTCTCGCGCAATTTGGTGCGGCGCACATTACGGGAGAACAATCTGCGCCCGTATCATTTCCAACGCGTGCAACAACTTCTCCCAGCAGATGAGCAGAAGCGCGTCTTTTTCTGTGAAGGTATTGGCTTTACAAGTTATTTCTTTTGCTGCCAGTTTATTGATTTTATTAATCACCGTTGAAATGCATAGGTTTACTCATGCAGTGTCGGCGGGATATTTCATTCCCCGACCGCATCCTGTGGACGGACGAGTCGACCTTTACACCGAACGGCGTGTTTAATTCGCGGAATTTCCTATTGTGGCAGGAGGAAAATCCACACGCCGTTCGAGAAGGCGCGTTCCAGTACCGCTGGAGTATTAATGTTTGGGCCGGAGTAATTGCGGACCGAGTGGTGAGTATCATTCGATTGAAGAAACTTGTTTCTCGCAATGATTTTCTAATATTTCATAATTTTCAGATAGGTCAATACTTTTTGCCACCTCGGCTTAATGGCGAGATTTACGCCGATTTTATCAAAAATCAACTCCCAGGGCTACTCGAGGACGTCCCTCTACAGGCACGAGCGGAGTTGATCTTTCAACATGATGGAGCTCCTGCGCACTTTAGCCGGCAAGTGCGAGATATATTAGATACGCGTTTCCCGGAAAGGTGGATAGGTCGAGGTGGTCCGATCACCTGGCCGCCGCGATCTCCTGACCTTAATGTGCTCGATTATTTCTTATGAGGTCACGTTAAGAATTTAATTGAACAGCGGCATGATGGTACAGAACAAGAAGTGAGTGAGGCAATTGTCGCGGCCTTCAATACTATCACGCCGGAAATGACGCACCGAGCAACGCGCGATATTAAACGAAGAGCCAAATTTTGTATGTGAGAAGAAGGACGGCACTTCGAGCAGTTTTTAATACATTAATGTACAGTGGATTAGGCCTCCTGGGGATACCACTATAAAAAAAACGCGCCATGCTATCTACCGCTAGGTGGTGTGGAAAGGATAGCACCGATAATCATCTCCGCGAGGAGAACGCGTGACGAAAACGCGCATTTATAGGGTGGCCGGTTATAAGCTGCCAACCCGAAGTGTGAAGGTAGATTGGGTTAAGATAAACATAAAAGTCCCATACCATATTGCAAGATTCGCAATAATTATCGAGTTATTAATGACAGAAATCTGAGGAGTAGAAGCGCGCCGACATAGCGGGAAGACGAGGGGAAGGACAACGCGCCGCTATTCGTTGTTTTATCTTGTCGGAATTACGTCTCGCCGCACGCCGCCCACAGTTGCTGGGCCGAGTGGGCCGCGCCGTAGCCTGAGCAGCTTCAACGTTTCTCCAATCATCTATGCCGGCGCGCTCCCACTCTTCAAGATTTCTGTCATTAATAACTCGATAATTATTGCGAATCTCGGTAAACGGTATGGGACTTTTATGTTTGTCTTAATGTAATCTACCTGTACACTTCAGATTGTAAACTTATAACCACCCACCCTGTATATGTGTGATTCTATCTCATAAATTATGAGATATAACCTCAATCTCAACTTTAGATTAACATCAATTCTGGAAA